ATCGTGGCCAGCCTATGTCACGAAAGCTCAGCGGAGGATCAACACCCGATCTACATATGGCTACAGTCCTCAAGAGCTATTCTACGGTTTCGATGCTCTAACGCCCTTCTCAAGACGGTTTGAAGACGTCAGCAACACTATCGACGAAGACTCTGTCCGTTTCGAGGCTCGACGTCGTGATCGGGAACGACAGAGAATGGTCAACAGCACTCTCAACGTAATGGAGAAGATGCGTGCTGATGCTCTCTCGCGTATCAATCCATCAACCTACACTCGACAAGTCGCACGACGACGTCTATTCAAGGTTGGTGACTCCGTGATGAAGTGGGTCCGTAACGTCGACCCCCTTACTCCTTCATGGAGAGGCCCTCTACTGGTTCAACAAGTACTTGGCGATTCTACTTACAAGCTTTCCGACGGCACTGTTCAAGATTCCAGAAATATACGGAAGTACTTCGGTAAAGCCCAGAATATGAATCCCATTACTATTGCATATATTCAGTAGATTTAATTCACTTTTGATATTTGTGCCAATCTTACGGGGAGGAGAGATGATAAGAGTCTATAGCCATTCAGTCTTATGGCGTGCGCTCCCTGTAGCGTAAAGCTCGCTCTCGCCCGACCGTTTCAAATATTGTCCGTTCAAACCATTGTTCGGATCCCGTGGATCTATCTGATCTGTCTGCACTCAATCTCCACTAACTATTGAATCCTTATGTCCGGTTCTGCATCGAGTTCTAGTCCTCCGGAAGCCTTCGACCAGCACTTCCTTAACAGCTCGAGATATCGATCGCAATGGCGTGCGCTGAAATATCAGCGCAAGACTTGAGCAAAAACCGTTTTGGACGTGCGTTGCGTATGGCAAGTTCTGAAGACGATCATATGGCGTCTGTATCGTCAGAAGCCGCAGTTGTCGATGAGTTTGCGGATGAGTCTGAGGTCAGAGGATCCTTGTACTTCAGTGCACCGGTCGAAGTAAGATTCTCATTCCGAGTAACGACCCCCGGATTCGTATAGCAGGTACTACCTCAAACTAGACGGACGGCGAATCTGCTCGCCCATAAAGCTGCTGAGCAACAGAGGAAGAGGTAAAGCCATTGGGGGTGAGATACACGAAAGCAACGCAATACTTCTTTGTGACACTACCGAGCACAGTTGCGTTCCTCTGAGCTACAACCTGATCGTAGCTACTTTTCGGGTGTAGAGTGAGAAGTTTCATCGATTTCAGGGAAGAGGCGGCGGAATTGAGACGGAGGATAGAGGAGGAGGAAATTCAACGAAGGATCCGCGAACAAGAGGCCAAAAAATTGGAGTTGCTGATGAAACAACAGCAAAAGGAAGAAGTAGTGTTTTAAGTATATTATTGGTATATGATGTCCTTTATTTATTCATTATACGTATGTATTCATAGGTTATCGTATATGCTAATATCTATGGTCATTATTAATTCTATAATCATTTATTCTATAATATCAGATGTCAACACGATTATCTGTTGTTCAGGAGCGAAAGAGACGCGAAGAGGAAGAGCAACGGAAACAGTTGGAAGGGGGCCTTGATCTTATCCTAGCACAATTACACCTCAACACCAGCAACGTCCAATCTGTATCTTTCGAAGGTACGGTACGCTGTCAATCCTGTACCACGTGTGCACTGTGATTTGCTCGTTATCGCAGCGG